CCAATTTTCTTTTATGGAAGACACAATTTGAGCCAATTCTAATTTCTCATGACCTTGAAGGTCTCATCGATGGAACTGACACTGCACCACCATCTACAGTAGGTGCAGGCAATACCTGTCAGTCCAACCCAGAGTTTATTTCTTGGCGCAAACGTGACCAAATGCTTCGCAGCTGGATTATTGCATCCTTAACTGAAGATGTTATGCCTCACATAGTAGGCACCTCCACCTCCTTTCAAGCCTGGAAAGCTCTCACACAAGCTTTTGGATCTCCTACGAATACCCGACTCCTTCAGTTACATACTCAACTTCAAAATTTCTCAAAAGGCGATCTACTAATAGCGACTTATCTTCAAAAGGCCAAACTCATAGCCGATCAACTTGCTGCTGCAGGAAAACCCCTTGATACCAATGAGTTCAATGCTATTATCTTCCGCAATCTAGGCAGCGATTACAGTGATATGGTCACTGCCATGTCTACCAGACTCAGTCCCATCTCTTATTCAGAACTCCATAGCCTACTTGTGAGTCATGAGATTCGTCTTCAAGAGCAGGCAACTTACTCCACCATTCTTCCTTCTGCTAATATGGTGTACAAGGGCCAAAATTCCAATAACACTCGGGCTCCAGCATCTCCAAATTTCCACAATCATCGAAGTCAATCCAATTTCAACAACAGATCACATCAAAACAACCACAGGTCCTTTCATACCAGGTCTAATTCTCAGCACCGTGGATTGCTCCCAACCCCACAAAATCCTTCAAATACAGCAAGATGTCAGATTTGTAATCGAACAAATCATTTGGCTGCTACATGTCGATATCGCTATGATAGGCCCAATGATGCTTCTGCTCACATTGCATCCTTTCTAGCATATTCAAATAGTGATTTTAACACATGGTTTCCTGACACTGGCGCAACTCATCATGTCACTCCGGATCTTGCCAATCTGTCCATCGCTAATAACTACAATGGTCCAGATCAATTGAAAGTTGGTAATGGTAATGGGCTAAATATTTCTCATGTGTGGACATCTACCTTTTCTAATGCCACTCGTTCTTTTAATCTATCTCATATCTTACATGTTCCTGATATCACAAAGAAACTTCTTTCTGTTCATCAATTCTCCAAAGATAATAATTGTTATTTTGAGTTTCACCCCACTTTCTTTGTTGTGAAGGACCAGCACACAGGGAAACCTCTACTTCACGGGCTGAATGAAGGTGGCCTCTATAAGCTTAGTAATATTGCCATCTCCAATAAAAATGACGGTCCCATGGCTTTCTTAAGCGAACGTGCCAATTTCTCTTGTTGGCATGCACGCTTGGGTCATCCACATCCACGTGTTCTTCGTCAAGTAATAAATGGCAATAATCTTCCTTCTCTTTCAAAGGACCTACCTCCTTGTACTGCTTGTTGTTTGGGAAAGATGTCTAAATTTTCTTTACCTCCCACTCCTTCTGTTAGCTCTCATCCATTAGAACTTATTTTCAGTGATGTATGGGGGCCATCCCTAATTCCATCCATTGAAGGACATCGTTACTTTGTTTTGTTTATTGATGATTTTTCCAAATATGTATGGTTTTTCCCTTTAGTCCGTAAATCTGATGTGTGTGACATATTTCTTAAATTTTAAGTCAAAGCAGAACGCTTGTTTAATACCAAGATCCGCAGTTTCCAATCAGATTGGGGGGGGGAGAGTATCGTAAGCTTTCTTCTCACTTTGAAAAATGTGGGATCACTCATCGAATTGCTTGTCCACACACTCATAAGCAAAATGGATCTGCTGAAAGAAAAATACGTCATATTACTGAGACAGGTCTCACTCTCCTTGCCCATGGATTTGTACCAAAAAAATATTGGCATTTTGCATTTGACACTTCTGTTTATTTGATAAATAGAATGCCTATTTCAGTCCTTCATGATCAATCTCCTTTCCAAGTTCTCTTTAATCAATCTCCTGATTATTGTTTTCTTAAAGTTTTTGGCTGCTTAGTTTTCCCATATATTCGTCCTTATAATAAAAATAAATTTGATTTTCATTCTCTTCCGTGTATTTTCTTGGGATATAGTCCAAATCACCATGGTTACCGCTGCTTAAATCCCCAAACAGGCAGGATATATATTTCTAGACATGCACGTTTTCATGAACACGTCTTTCCATTTTCTGTTTCTCCAACTTCTGTGTTGCAGGCTCCAAATGACCCACCATTTGATCCTTTTTTGTTGCCTATAGAGTTCCCAAGTTCAGCACGTGAAGCAAGGGTGCCCTCATTTGGTAATTCCTCCTCTCCTCTTTCATCTCAATTCCATTCTAATGCTTCTCCTAGCTCACCAAATGTGCATTTAAATTCAAATTCCACTACAGCTTCAACTCTTGCATTATCTCCTCACCACATCTCCCATAATGATAATTCATCTATGATTCCTTCCCAACATGAAAATATTGATCCTACTGTTACCAACTCCAACGGTCAGGAATTAGCTATAGTTTTGGCAGGTACTCAAGGAGAAAACCCAAGTCAGGGGCGTCAAAATGCTAGATACTCTCTTCACCCGAGACCAACTCCCAATCCCAAATACACTCTTCCTCATGCACTTTTGACTGAAGCTAACACCCAACATGAGCCAACTTGTTTCTCTGATGCTAACAAACACCCCCACTGGCGTGCTGCAATGACTGAAGAATTGAATGCCCTCATAAAGAATGGCACCTGGTCACTTGTTCCCTATGATCCTTCCATGAATGTTGTTGGGTGTAAGTGGGTGTTTCGTGTCAAGCGCAAGGCTGATGGTTCAATTGATAAGTACAAAGCACGTTTAGTTGCCAAGGGATTTCATCAACAAGAGGGAGTTGATTACACTGAGACATTTAGTCCCGTCGTCAAAGCCACCACTATTCGCACAGTTTTGTCACTTGCTGTCAGCAATGGTTGGGAAGCTCGTCAGTTGGACGTAAGTAATGCTTTTTCTCCATGGGCATCTTAAAGAAGAGGTTTACATGACTCAACCACCTGGTTTTCTTGATTCCTCTCAACCACATCATGTTTGTAAACTTCATCGGTTCCTCTATGGCTTAAAACAAGCACCACGGGCATGGTTTCAGTGTTTGAGTTCTTCCCTTTTGCAACTTCAATTTGTTGGCTCTAAAATGGATAGTTCATTGTTTGTTTTTAATGATCGAACTACGATTATCTATGTTCTTGTGTATGTTGATGACATAATCATCACAGGAAATAATAGTGCTGCCATTGGAAAAGTCATCTCCGCTCTTAGCTCCACATTTGCCTTGAAAGATCTTGGTATACTACATTATTTTTTGGGCATTGAGGTGGTACCCCATTCTGGTGGATTAATCCTTTCTCAGCGCAAATACATCATTGATCTCCTAAAGCGATCCCATTTGTCCGACATCAAGCCTATTGATACACCAATGGCCTCTTCTAGCAAGCTTAGCAAATTTGATGGTGAACCATTATCTAATCCACAACAATACAGAAGCATTGTTGGCGCTCTTCAATATGTCACCTTAACTCGCCCAGAACTGTCCTTCTCTGTTAACAAAGTTTGTCAATTTATGCATAATCCCACCAGTGAACATTGGGCTATTGTGAAGAGAATTCTTCGATATCTCAAGAAAACTATCTCTCATGGACTTTTCCTCAGCAAATCTTCTTCTCAAGCCATTCAAGCCTTTTGCGATGCGGATTGGGCTGGATGTCCAGATGATCGTCGATCAACTGGTGGGTTTGCTATTTATCTTGGCTGTAACTTGGTCTCGTGGTCAGCCAAAAAGCAACATACTGTTGCCCGGTCCTCCACTGAGGCGGAATATCGTGCCATTGCCAATACTTCCACTGAAATTATTTGGCTTCGCTCATTACTCCAGGAACTTGGAATTTCCACATCTACTTCACCTGTCTTATGGTGTGACAACTTAGGAGCTACCTACCTTTCTGCTAATCCAATTTTTCATGCTCGTACAAAGCACGTAGAGATCGATTATCATTTTGTTCGTGATCAAGTTTCTGCAGGAAAGCTTAGAGTTAAATTTATCTCCACCAAGGATCAACTTGCTGATATCATGACCAAACCATTGAGCTCCCCTCGCTTCACCTTCATCAGAGACAAGTTGAGAGTTCAAGAACGCTCAACTTGAGGGGGCGTATTAGTTGCACCTTCGCACCTTCAACCGTTACAAATGCAGCTGTAACAGCTGCAGATCACCCATGATATTAGCACCAGCTGTAGTCTTTCCTTCCTAAGAATCTTGTAATTATTTTGTAATCTTTCCTTGATCATAGCAAGTGTAACATCTCCTTGATATCAGCTCTTTTGAATTTCTGTAACTGATTCATACTCTGTATAAATATAGAAAATCTCAACACTATTTGGTGTGAAGAAATCTAAACTTTACACCTAGATCATGCAATGGCAATGCAAACCACTTGCTTCACCTGCCTATAAATAGAAGACCAAAAGAAGGGAGAAGGAGACTGACTCTTTCTTTTCACTTAGAATAGTTCTATTCTTGTATAATTGGCAAACCAGTTGTAACAAGGATTCAAATCAATACAAGTACCGTGTTCTTCCACATCTCCAACCCAACTCACGCACTTTGATCCTAGTTATCTTGTACCCCTCTAGGGTCAAGGTTTGCGTTGACTGCTGGTCTTACCAGTCAACAGTTTCAATATTTTTTTGGTGCTTCTGTTATTATTACCTATAGCAAATATTTTTCAGTGAATTTAGAAAGCTCTGGATATTAATTTCATTTAATTGGAATCAAACTGGACTTGAGCAAGGAAAGCGAAGCCCGGCCCACCCACTGAGTAAGTAACTTATAAAGGTCGCTGCCACATGGGACTCAGTCATCTCACCTAAACGAATGAATGAAACCCAAGGGAAAGCCCAAGAACAATTAATTAAGACAGCACCAAACTGCATCACTGCGCACAGATAACTTGTCCAAAACATAAAAATAAAATAAGTAAAAAGCAAAATAATCGACGAAAAATTTAAAGGAAGAAAGAAAGAAACTACGCAGAGAGAGAGAGGAGAGGGGTGGAAAGAAAGACCAAAGCAGAGCGATGATCTGAGTCTGAGGAAAGCTCCAATTCCCTCCACTTCCTCCTCTTTCTCCTCCTTCGTCTTCAACCCAGAAACCCTACAATTCCCAATTCCACAGATTACATACACCTATACATTCACAAACACGAACACTGTTTTTTGTTTAATTTCATTCGATTTGTATCACACACATTGCAATTTCCCCTTCGTCCAACATGTCTATCAACATGAAAACCCTAACCCAAGCCCTGGCCAAGACCGCTGCGGTCATCGAGAAGACCGTACAGACCACGGTCCAGGAAGTCGCCGGACCCAAACCTCTCCAGGACTACGAGCTCTTCGATCAGATCGGGTCGGCCGGACCGGGTCTGGTCTGGAAGCTGTACTCGGCCAAGGCTGCTCGTGAGTCCAACCGGGCGCACCAGTACCCCACGGTCTGCGTCTGGGTTTTGGATAAGAAGGCTTTGTCGGAGGCCCGCGTGCGTGCCGGGTTATCCAAGGCGGCGGAAGATGCGTTTTTGGAGATCATTCGGGCCGATGCATCGAGGCTGGTGAGGCTGAGGCATCCCGGGGTTGTGCACGTGGTTCAGGCGTTGGATGAGAACAAGAATGCCATGGCAATGGTCACGGAGCCGTTGTTTGCCTCGGTGGCCAATACGCTTGGGAATGTGGAGAATGTGGCTAAGGTGCCTAAGGAGCTTAAAGGAATGGTAGGTAGCTCTAGTGGGCTTAAATTGTTTTTTGTGAATGTCGGATTTGAGTTTGGATAGTGTAATGTATAAATGCATGTTTGGATTATTCTGGGCCTTCTGATTATTGCAAGGTAGTTTAAATCTGTGAAATGCTCGCTAGGATTTAATTTCTTTAATGTGGATCAGTAGATTACCCACTTGAATTCTAATGTAGCTGTATGGTTTTGAGAATGATACATCTGATTAGTGTTAATAAGATGCCCGTTTCAATTTGAATGGTCCTATACAAAAGAAATTGTAGAACAAGAGTTGTCTGTATGCTGTGAAAACTGCAGCTTCCGCAGAACTGATAACACACCAATAATAGATAAATTTGTTTAATATGCATATTTTAATAGAACTGATTCTCCAACTTGATAAATTTGTTTGCATAGCTCCACATTGATGTTTAATATGCATATACTCAGAACATTGGGCTTATTATATTGAAATCAGTAAAAGTAAAATTACAAGATGAGGACATGACAAGTTTTTACCCAGAACAGAATCATTGTTTGGAAAATATATGTTTGTACTATTATCGATTAATTTGTTGGTGGTGAAATAATTTTGTTTTATAGCTATATTTGCATCTGGTTTGTAAATTTTGTGGGGGCTGGATATTTTCCATCCTTGGACTTTTTTAGTCAATTTCCTATCTGTCATGCACTATGAGTTCATCCTGTGGTATCATAGCTTGCTCAAAAGGATTTTTGCTTGCCAGGAAATGGGTTTGTTGGAGGTGAAGCATGGTTTGCTCCAGATAGCAGAATCCTTGGACTTTCTCCATAACAATGCGTGTCTTATTCATCGGGCTATATCACCTGAGGTAACAATTGTTTGTTTTCACAATATTTAAAATATGTAGAAGTGAAATTTGTCAACATTTGACTTCACTTAGAGATGTTTTCTCCTTTGTTAATCTGGAGGGTAGAATATTTACAAGACTATATGCCCTTGTTGTCCGTGCTAGTTTGAAGATATATTTACTAAGGAAAAGTCCATATTTTCATTTTATTGCTTGATATTTATTGATCAATTCCCTTAATGAATACAATAAATGTTTTTCTGGTCAATTACTTATCGTGCTTGTCCTTCAAGTTTGAGCTCCAAAGCATATGGAATGTCAATTTAATGCGAAATCATATTTCTGCAGAATGTCTTTATTACATCAAGTGGAGCGTGGAAACTTGGTGGATTTGGTTTTGCAATCTCAACAGATCAGGCCTCAGGCAATATGGCTAATGTTCAGGCATTCCATTATGCTGTGAGTGAAGTCGTTGATAGGAATTTTAAATAAGCTTATTATACATAGAATTCTATTCCCCCTCCACATTTGGTAATGTTGTGAATTCTTGATTTCTGTTCTCCAGCACATTATTAATATACACTTGGCTTGTAGATCTTGATCTCTTATTGATTGTATCATTTACGTTTTGCATGTACCCACATTCATGAATCTATGAATGTCTTCATTTTTCTTCCTTGTTTCACTTCTATGCAGTTGCTTTTGCAACAACTTTGAATGATCTTTCTTGCACACCGGATTTCTTTACAAATAGTTAAGAGTTTGGCCTTTTCTTTTATGAGCCATATGCTGTTTCCTTGTGAAAATGTTGACTCACTTTTCAGGTTTATTTATTTAAGCTTATTATATCAATGGAGAAGACCAATTTATGTGTTATTCAGCAAAAAATAAGATGAATACATATTTTTCCCATGAGCCATATGTACCTATCATTATTTGATTTGATATGGGTTGCACAGGAGTATGATGGTGAGGACTCTGTACTCCCCCTTCAGCCATCGTTGAATTACACTGCTCCTGAACTTGCTAGGAGCAAAGAATCTTCAACTGGATGTTCTTCTGATATTTTCAGCTTTGGATGTCTTGCCTACCACTTGATTTCACACAAGCCTTTGCTTGACTGCCACAACAATGTCAAGATGGTAATTTTGTTTTGAAGTGTTCACTCTTTCATACAAATGTGGGTGTTTTAATTGGTTGTTTTTTTCATATCCGGAAAACACAAAAATAGCTTGTATGATATGCTTATCTCATTTAACAAGGATCATCACCAACTTCTGGCTGCTACTTCGCCTTCATTTCATGTGCACTAAAAATTGGTCATGCAAGTGATTCTCATGCTTGATCTATGATTCTGTATATGTTGTTAATTCTACATTTGTCTTCTGCAGTATATGAATACCTTAAGTTACTTATCTAGTGAAGCCTTTTCCTCTATTCCTCCGGAGTTAGTTCCTGACTTACAAAGGATGCTTTCTACAAATGAGGCTTTCAGGCCAACAGCAATGGATTTTACAGGTAAATACGTGAACCTTACTGTAATGGAGCTTTTCCACATAGGGAAAACATTCCTCTGCTTCCAAACCAATCGATGTAAAATAGAGAGAAAAATAGAATACATAGGAGATGTTTGAAGAGACAGAGAAGGATAAGTTGAGGCAGAGTATGGCAAAATGAAGTCTGTATTAATATTCAACAATATGCCAGAAGTCTCAAAAACTATTACTAGAAACGTTATGTATATAGGCATTGCAAAATGGTTAAGGACTTAAAAATAATAAACCTAGTAACTTAATTCCCAAATTCGACTGATTAAAAGTAAATAATAATTAAATCTCTTTTTTTAGTTTTAACAGATAGAAGCTAAACAATACTAATCTCATTTATTTATTTATGTCTAAATAAATAAAGATGTCCTTGCGTCACGAACCCCATCTCTCTCTCTCTCTCTCTCTCTCTCTCTATAATTTTCAGGGTAGTTTATATGCATTGCAACAAGAAATAGTATAATGTAAGAGAAGATAAGAAAGAAGATTACTGGAAGATTTAGCATTGTGGAACATCATGTATTGAGTTGTAGGGAGTTCATCAAGGCGTTACCAATTTTATGCTCTTATTAAACATTTCACCTACAAGTGTAAGTTGCAAATTTATTTGAATTGCCTGCAATGTCCCTTTCCTCTTAGCTAAAACAGCAGAAAATGATAAATCCTTAGTGTGTAATGGCATGACCGTTTGTAAAAGCCCTAAGGCATTACTGAATCCTCCATCATTATTAAAGGTGAGAGTGCATGAGGAATTCAGGTTGTTCTTTTCCTGATACATGGCGATCACTCCCAAATCTTCTTGAATGCTCTTCGTGGAAAGCCAAAATTAATGTAGAATCATGTATAGAATTTGTTTGGTCATGCTTGATTATATTTTGTTGCTATAATCTTTGCAGTACATTTAGCTGGAATATTAGTGTTTCGTTACATACTAAGTGAACATGGATTGCAATTTGACTCAGGATCGGGTTTGTTTATAATATTATATTTTTTGCAGGTTCTCCATTTTTCCGGGATGACACTAGGTTGCGTGCTCTTCGCTTTCTCGACCACATGCTTGTATGCATTTGCATTTCAGCGTAACCAGTGCATGCTTCTGGGATAAAGTTACCCCTGGAGCAATATATTAAAAGAAAAAAAAAATATTGACAGCAATAAAAAATTACTTGGTCATAAATTTTTTATTTACTTGCAGGAAAGAGATAACATGCAGAAGTCTGAATTCCTGAAGGCATTATATGATATGTGGAAAGATTTTGACTCTCGTGTATTGCGCTATAAGGTTTGAGTTCATTCTTGTCTGATCAAGTGATGTGTCATTTATTTATCTCATCTATTTTTACAGTATATATGTTTTGTGTAATTAAACATGAATGTTTGAAGTACATTGAATTGTTGATTTTGGAAACGAAAATTCAACAAACAAAGATTAATGAAATAAAGACCACATGATGATTTTTGTGTTTGGTTAAAGAAAGAAAGAACTCTTGAGTTACATGTGTCCTATATTATTCAGCTGTACTAGTGGAAAACTAAATGAATTGAAATCGGGGAATCTGGGTATCTGGTTATACCTGTTAGTAATTTGCATTTCACGATTATTGCATTCTCTAGTTTGGCTGACCCCACTGCTGCGGATATTAATTTTTTCAGTGGGACCACTTGAATGATTGAACATGGTCTGTATTATCTTTTTTCTAGGTACTGCCGCCGCTTTGTGCAGAACTCAGGAATTTGGTTATGCAGCCAATGATTCTGCCCATGGTTCTCACGATTGCGGAGTCTCAGGTACTAATTGCTTCACCTTTGTGATTGGAGATCTGCCATCACCGTACCTACAACAAAAGCTTTGTGAATTTAAACTTAAGCTATGTAACTGATCAGGCTTGTGAGTGACTCTGAACGAATCCTGTAGTGCTTGTTATGGGTTATTAGATTATATCATAGTTCCAATAAAAAAGATTGTAGCAATGATGGGTGTTAGAGTTTTTGTGTTTGGGTTAGTTCAGGCAGTTTAGCAAGTTTTATTTTTGTTGCTGTAGTTTGAAAGTGGTCTTCACTATGGGGTTCAATTTCTACAGACTTTGGAGATTTATCTTTTGAGATTATTTGTTTGGATTGGAAAGCAGCCATCCGTTAATTTTCCAGGCCAAGTTAGTTTTTTCTTCAGGTTTTTCTGTATGCTAGAGGTTTGGGGATCTGGTTTTCGTCAATATCTTTGTTTTAGCCTTCTTTTGTGGTCATCTTCACCACTGCTGTATTTTATTGTTATATGCAATAAAATTTGTTTCTTTAAAAAAAGAAAAAAGAAAAAAGTGGACTCCTTGTCCATAGTTGTTCACATGTCGTTTTTCAGAATCCCCGGGAATGGGAAGAAAGCCAATGTTTTATGGGGCTGTAGTGTATTGGCTATTCTTTGGGTGGTTTGGTTAGAACGAAACAGATTAATTTTTGAGGATCAAGCAGGTCACGAAACAGAGGAATTGTGGGAGAAAGTTAGACTATGTTCTTCACTATGGACCTCGACTTCTTCAGTCTTTAGAGATGTCCTTTAGGGTTATTTGGCTGGATTGGAAAGCAGCCATTTCCTAGCTATAGGTTGTGTGTGCGCTACTGGGGTTCTTGTGCTAGTAGCTTAGGGTTTGTTCAGTCTAGTTGCTCTGTTTTTTTGTTTCTGTTTCTTTGTTGCCAACTTGGCCATCTCTGTATTTTATCTATTGCAATAGAATTTGTTTCCTTTAAAAAAAATGCCGTTTTTCTTAAGAAAATATTAGTTTCTTGTCAAGAGAAAAATGTTGTCAGTTCACTATTTACTTCTCCTAAATGGTTTCCCATTATTCATAGCTTATATTCTGATATTCTCTTCTAACTTCAATCTCAAAAAGTACCATAGAGGTAAGATGGTAATTATAACATGTCATTTAATTTGATATATTTTTCCCATATATATCACTATAAGTATAAATCACATGTTGGTCCTATTTGAGACCCCCTTTGTTGCTAGGTTAACCCCCTTTCTGTTTTTTGTTCGGGAACTAACAATTTTACCCAATCATTTTATTCCATATCAATGTTTTTATTCAATTGGAGAAACACCCATGGCTACTGGCCATGGTGGACCGGCATCCACGGGTGGTGTAGAGGTGCTGATCCATTTGCAATAGGGGAAGGGCTGGAATGTATTTTACTTGTGGAATTTTTTTTTTTTTTTTTTTTTTTTTTTTTTTTTTTCCAGAGGTAAAATTAAAAAGTTACCAACTAAGGGAGGGGCTAACTGAGCAAATGTAGGATTCAAATAATGCCACTCTAAAACATGTGAATTTTTAAATGATCCAGGTAAAGAATTGTGTAATGATTTCATCATTGTTATCACCATCATTTTTGCTGTCATTATTAACTGCCATGACGTTTATTTTTGCAAAAATTGACACGATAATTAAGATATCAAATCATGAAGTACTGAGCCCAAAGTATTCTAAATACACATTCCTCTAACTATCGAACATACACACATCTTCTGGTGACTGAATGCTTTTTCTTTCATAATCATGGGTTAGTTTTTCAATTGGATTAATGGAGTTGATGCCTTGAAAATTAATGTAGGATAAGAATGACTTTGAGCTATCAACGTTGCCAGCTCTTGTTCCTGTGCTGAGTACTGCTGTGGGTGACACATTATTGCTGCTTTTGAAGCATGCAGAACTCATAATCAACAAGGTAAGTGAAGATGCTCTGTTCTTTATGGTTTAAAATATTAGTTGCATTCTGTAGTTTAATCCTTGTGGTCTTGTTTGTGTGCTGTTGCTGTTTGGTGCATGAAAAGGGATGCTGATTCCTAGGCATGAAAAAAGAAAAGGAATCTGAATTTAGTTAAAATGTTGTCCCAATGGATTTTCTCATACCTTTATCAGTTCTAATTTTTTTTTTTTTTCTCACATTAAGTTTTCATTTTGTTTCATGTTTATCGTGGGGTTTAGAGCCACAGTTCTTTGCGTAGTACTGTAGTTTTAATTTGGTTATAAGAAGCTGCTATCACAAATGTGCATGTCTTAAATATTATTTTTAAAACTTTGTTCAGTTATGTTTTGCAACTCATTCAATTCCTCTCAACTTAACTCTGCCTTAGTCCCGATAGTTTACTGCTTCCGGGTTGGCTATAAGAGTTCTATCCGACGCTAATTGGGTTTCACCAGATGAATCTTCGGCCAGTTAACCCTATCCAGAGCTTTTGTTTTTGATTGTGAGAGACACTGTCTTTCATTCTTGAACCTTAAGACACTGGAAGCCTGTACCATGCGGTATCAAAATGTTTTGAGTCTTTTTCAGCTTTTCAACCGTATATTCATTTGCCCTCTTATCAGAAAGAAAATATGTTCATTAGCTTATTACTCCATGCAGTGGAGGAAGTTCAGAATCAAAGTATATCTCAGATTTATTAATGGATTCATTTCAAGCTTGTTTCTATGGTTAATTGTCAATGAACCTTATAAATATATCTGCTGGGCTCCAATAGACTACTACTTTGTTAGTAGATACTTTTTCCATTATTGAGTTATATTCTTATTTTGTTATGTATGTATTGTAGACTATGCAAGAGCACTTGATATCACATGTCCTGCCCATGATCGTTCGAGCATATGGTGATACTGATGCTCGCATACAGGAGGAGGTTTTGAAAAAGTCTTCTTTCCTTGCTAAGAAACTTGATGCTCAGGTGAGTATGCATTGTCATTCTTTTGGAATATATATGTGTGTGTGTGTGCGTGTGTGTGTGTGTGTGTATTCTTCCAATTTGTCTTCATCATCAGTGGTTAGACACGTTTATGGAGTTGCTTTTGTGATACGATATATTGTTGGAGATAAAGTGTTGTTAACCACTACTTCAAACATAAATCATAACAACACAGGACCAAATAAAAAATTATAGTCTCCTATTTAAAAGGAATATCAGCAGTCTAAATTTAATGTTGAATGCTATTTTTGAAAGAAATGGAACAAATGTTGGTTTTATTTGGTTATCCAATGATGAGCTTATGATGTGCTGGCTGAAGTTTGCCATTCTGTTTGAAGTAGATCCTAGCTCTGTGAGCTTAATAATTATGCATTTGGCATATTATAAGTTACATTTCAGTTGCTTGAGATGTTTTTACAATTTTTTTGGATTTATTTACCATTAAAGCCTTATACTTCAACAGTGGAGATTTGTACCAAATTAAGTGAGTTTCTGGATTATACCCCTGGCTATTTCGAAGTTCATTTTATTAGATTTTTTTCCTTCTTATATACAAAAATGTTTGTAGCACATGGACAACGATAAACAAAAACTGTGTTATCTGCTTAGAGTTCTTTCTTGTGAATGATCATTTTACTAGAGCTACTAGTATGTATTGTCTTATATTTTCATTCTTTCCAGCTAGTGAAACAAGCTATTCTGCCTCGTATTCATGGCTTAGCTCTCAAAACAACTGTTGCAGCGGTATGTACACTTAATTGATACTTTTTATTTGACTTGTCGTTTCTTAGGTTTAATTTTAAGCACATTCTTGTTACCTTAGATGATATCAATATGTTCTTTCCATTTGTGCATTGGATCTTATAACTGTTGTAACATATTTCTATGAGCATTCTAAGTTAAAAGACGTTTTGGTCCACTACATTGTGAAATTCACAATGAGAGGTACTCATCGTTGTTATCGTCATCCATTCCTTTGTCCAATGGTGTGGAACTGGCTAATGTATTCTGGTTTTACTTTGTTTTCTTTTCCATGCAATATCTCATATTATGTATATTTTTCTCTAATTTTTTTTATTTACTTCTCATGTAAGTTTTTGTCAGCCTCTTGGTGTCTTACCGTCTACTTTTAATTAATCATTCCTTTGAGTGTCACTCCCTGTCTTCTCCTATTATATTTCATTTGATTGTGCTTTAATATGTATCACTCTATCCCATAAAGAGTAGTTGACCTAATCATAGTTATTTGGACCTTTAAAAAAAAATTTATAAATGCATTCTTTTATCACCCAGTGTACAACGAGCTTGTCTGAATTTTGTACATCCTGTGCTAGTTGTGTATCGCGTGCACATATATATCCCTGTTATTTTGCATTACTGATTCTTAATGCAGGAAATAACTTGATTCAATGGGTTATTACCTCCTAACTTGTCTGAAGTATAATTATTTTGTTTGTTGAATTTGCACCCCACATATACTCTTTCTTTAATCCCACTAATTCTTAAACCTTTTGATTGTAATGGGTTTGTCCATGTTTCTACTTTTGAGGAAGTTGACTCACTGCCATTCATTAATTAGCATACATCATGAAATGACTTCGTGCATTCCCTTATTATTTCATCGAAAACTTCTAAGCAGGGTTTAGTGCTGAACTCATGATGCTTAGTGTAATCCTACTTTTATCTGATTAATGAGAACTCAATTTCTTTGTAGGGCCCACCATAGGTTATCTTTTGCTACTCCATCATCAGCTTTTGTGATTTATTTACTTATGCCATTCTCCATTGAGTGTTTAGTAAGTAGATGCTGGATTGTCTCCATAGAGGATCTATTTGGCATAAATCCAAATTGGTTATCAGGCAGTGTTTGATTCTTCCATTATATTTTGTTTTTCCACTTTCCCATATTTCATAGTGTGATTCGTCAATTCCTCGAGGAGTTTACAGCTCCGCATCCCTTTTATTTTTATATATTGGTATTGTATTGCTCTTCCTCCACTCATTTGCAGCGTATCTTCAATTTAAATTTTATTTGATAGTTTTGTTAGCCACTCAGCTCCTACATTTTCATAGTTTTCGACGCCTCTGTAGGTATTTTTAAAATATGTTTCCCCCGTCTTTGTAAGTAACTCCACCAAACTCTTTAGTGTTAATTGGAGTTTCATTCTTTTATTTGGTTCATAGTTTCCAATTAATAATACGACATTTAACAATCCTTGAAATTACTTTTCTCATATATCGAAATGTATTTCCTGTTAATTTTTATTTTATTTTATCTATACTGTCTTTATCTGGTTCTCCGTCCATCCTGTTTGTATTTTGTTTTCAGTCTACTTTTATTAATAAAGTCTGTTCCTTACACATTTAACTTGGTCCACTTTTCTATGTGAAACCTTTCTTTTTCTTTTGCTAAATTTGGAAATTTCTGTGTCATTCCCCCTCTGTTTCGATCGCTGTAAAGACGGATTTCTCATTTTATTTTTAACCAATATAGATGTCTTTATACTCCAAACTGATCATTAAGCTTATTTGTTGGAGTCACCGTGCGATTTCTCGGGACGAATCTTCTGCCCGAGTTTGGTTACTCAAATATCCTTTGGTTTATTTGTGTATTTTGAGACCATATTATTCCTTTGGACAATGGAATGCTGTTGACACTAAATTCAAAAAATCTAAAGGTGCCTTTAGTTTTTGTGGATCTAAGGTCAATAGAATGACAGTTCAAGACGAATGAAGTAGAAATATGTTACCGCTATTTCTTTAGTACTGGATTCAACTATAGCTCTTAATTCAATGCCATGTTACCCTTGCCAAAAAATAAATATGTTACCACTAGTTCTTTTATTCATTTAATTTTTGTGGCTTAACCTTAATGTAAGAATTGAATATGAACTTCAAATGTGCTTCTTTTGGCAGGTGAGAGTCAATGCTTTGCTTTGTCTAGGAGATTTGGTTCCTACACTTGATAAGCGTGCTATTTTGGATATTTTGCAAACAATTCAGCGTTGTACAGCAGTTGATCGTTCTGCTCCTACCCTTATGTGTACCCTTGGGGTGTCAAACTCAGTTCTTAAGAAGGTAATAGTTTCCAATAATGAAACTGGCTTTGGAGTTGCTTTATTTGTCTCGCTTATATTGTTATGTATTATTTCAAGTTACAACTCATTGTCCTTACTTCATGATTTTCAGCATGGGGCGGAATTTGTTGCAGAGCATGTCCTCCCACTACTCACACCTCTTCTTACAGCCCCGCAATTAAATGTTCAGCAGTTTGCCAAATATATGCTCTTTGTCAAAGATATTCTGAGGTATTAATTTAACATGTCAAGCTTCATTCTATTGTGTTGGGGGGATTTGCAATGTCTGCGTGTGCTTACATGCATGCTAATCGGTTTCAGCATTATGTATTTGGTTTTTTGCTTCTTTTAGTTTTCTGATATTAAGTGTTATTCTCTTTTTATGTAATGGTTTTGTGGCAGGAAGATAGAGGAAAAACGGGGAGTTACTGTGACGGATTCTGGAATCCCAGAGGGAAAACCATCTGCATCTGCCAATGGGCTCCAGTCCCAAGTCCCAAGCAAAATAAGCGGAAATGTCGCCACCGCTGCAAACGGCAGTCCAGGATGGGATGAAGATTGGGGCCCCATTAGAAAGCAGCCTTCCAATTCCCTCCAAAATTCTACAAATAGCATTACCTCAACTTATCCCATTCAGGGTATTGAACCAATTCAAGTAACTTCTTCACAACCAAATTCCTTGTTGCGAACTGCAGTTTCTAGTCAGCAAACACCCGTGTCATGCCCCCCAGTTGATATAGAGTGGCCTCCTCGGGCATCCTCTGGAGTTACTCCTCTTGGTGATGCTGAGAAGCAATCAAATGCTGGAGCATCATCCAGTTCCAGTTTTGATGACATAGATCCTTTCGCCAACTGGCCCCCACGGCCTAGTGGCTCAGTAAGTGGAACTGGCCCTTCCAACAATGGTGCAATAGAATCGCCCAGGAACAAATATGGTCCCAATTCATTCTCAAGTACATCAAACAGTATGAACCTCTACAGCAACGACAATGACAGTTGGGCCTTTGGCACCCAAAGTTCTGTTGAGCAAATAGGACTGAATCAAGGCAATGCAACTTTGAATACTGGTAGTTTGGGTAGCTCAGGTTTTGACCCCCAGAGTTCTATTGGGTTTTTGAAACAGACTCAGTCCATTTCAGCTTCAAGTGCTTACACAGATAAAAAGTCCGCTGATTTGGGATCCATATTTGCTTCTGGCAACAATGCGCAGACAGCACCTAGACTTGCTCCTCCCCCTTCAACTGCTGTAGGTCGAGGAAGAGGTAGAGGGAAGGGTGCTAGTTCAGTGTCTCGGTCCAGCCATGCCAAATCAGCATCTGAAAAGCCACCCCTTTTAGACCTGCTATAAGCTTATAATACAATGTTTGTATCTTCATTAACGTAGGATAAAAAAAGCAGTACAACAAAAGATTTGTGAGTGGCCCATGTAGAGTATCCCTGCCATGCCGTGTGGAGAGTGTTTTTGTATATGATTTTGGGATACTACGTCATATTTCTAGCGTGGCAGACAGGAGCAGCTCTCGGGGATGGCAAGGTTTGTTATGTATTTGATCTATTGTGCTTAGTTTGTATTTTGTTGCGATTTGGCACCAAATTTTGCTTTGTAATTTGGAAGCTTCTTTTGTTTAATTCTTCTGGATAGTATATTCTTCGTTACAGGCCCAGCTTCAGTGACTGGGTTGGAAATCAATAAAAGAGATTAAGGTTGTAAATGCTATTGGAAGGAATCTCTACCAGACTATTTTTAACTTCATTTGATTTATTTTTACACAACCGATGTTCGGAGAGAGGAGACTAAATGCTCTAAACCACTTTTAACTACAAGTCCCTTGCGATGCATTGCAACACACGAATAAGTGGATGGTAATAATTGGAAAAACTTCAATAAATAATTCCCCCATTTCTAATGATTGACCTATAAAAATGGTTTTAGGAGTATATGATCTAAGGCGCATTTATCATGCGCAATCAACTTCATGAGAAGATGGTGGTCGAGATGTATTTGAACATGTCCACAGTGGCGATTGGCTTTTCAAGATGAGTTTTTGATGCCTGCTAGCCACTTCTTCCTTTCTATTGCAGCTACCTCTTCAAAAAGTAATCCCAAAGCATAGCATAACATGTCATGCATTAACCAATCAATAGTATTATGAAAAAAATTAATTACCAATAAAAAATGAGTATGAAAGTCGTTGGATAGCGGCATCCAAGGGCTGAATGGCTGGAGGGCGTCGTTAGCGCCTCCACTTTTCAGTGATGAAACAGACAGGAGAAACATGGAAATGGAATATGGGGAATTTCAATCAAGTGGGCTTTATTTTTGCAGTCTTTTTGGGTTTTGGTTATGGCTTTCCCTTTCCTGCCTAATTAATTACACATGACCCAAAATCGGGGACTTGCTTTCTCCATTGACGAGGCATTTGTATTCAATGGTCGGGACCATCAACAAGCGCTGTGCAAGAGCTAGTGACTCAGATTTTTATTACTTGCACAGTGAGTTCATGTAGAACAAGAAATTGTTGTGAGTTTTTGATACATTCGGCATCATCGATGAGGTGCATCAATCTCAGGTTTCTATCGCAAATGGTCTTTCAATTTTATAAAAGTTTTCATTTTTCAAATCAAGCAACGTAGTCCTTAATTTTTGATGTACACATCATTTTTTTTTTGTTACAATTAATGTTATTTCGTGACAATATTTGAAGGGATAGTTTTCACCAAAATATAGCTTATCTGCCCAATAGACAATAAAAATTGGGTTTTTTTTCTTCTTCTAAACAATGTTATATACTCTCTATTTACGATTTCACATTGGAGTTCCATTAAGGAGAACAAATGACAAATTCTTAAAAAATAATAATAATAAGAAAGACCTTATTGAATACAAGACGTGAGATTATTTTGTCTTGGTATGTTGTGTATTGAAAGAAAAGAAAAAATGACACATTTTGGTAAATATGTCGCATGACCAAACCAAAGATTTTATGAGTAAGGAGTGAAGTATTTTCCAATCTGGACAATATCTCCACGGCCATTGACCAGAAGAAAGAGGCGCCAATGCATGCCATTCTTGATAGTTATTCTTAAGAATTTAATCATAATTAATGTCGGTAAAGTGGTAGTTAGGACAGGAATATACACCAGTAATACATAAAGTGGTAGTTAGGACAGGAATATACACCAGTAATACATAAAGTGGTAGTTAGGACAGGAATATACACCAGTAATACATACTTGTATACTCAATGAACCAACGGCGGGAAGGTTTACCATCCCAAAATAAGGAAACTAAAAGGCTCACATCAAAAGGAACATGCTGAGTGAATTGTGGGTCAAGGTAACCCACTTAAAAGAACCCTAAATATTATTATTTTTTCAACAAAAACAAATGATTATTTTCCCTAATATATCTATTCGACTCCTATTACCAAATTTTGTTATTATCATGAGATGTAACACATGCAGCATAATCGAGCATTTTATTCCGTTAGGGATTTCAATTATTTATCATGTTGTATTAACCATCTATAACATCAGTCAGTAATAAGTAGAAGAAAATATCAACTTAATTTCCTATGAGTTGCTTTCACTC